TTAATCTGCACCTAAATACACCCTGCACACTGCTGGCAACTGGTTCCAGACACTTCTGCCCTGTAGGGCCTAGGAAGGTTGTAAACACTCATTCTAACAGCTTTCTAGATCTGTTGGGGAGTGAAGTCTGTTTACTACATGGACACATCTAAGCCAGCCCAACCTTTGTGGAAATCTTCCAGTGCTCCCATGTAAACCAGGTACTTTTGTCTCCTAATCAGATGATTATAAGCCTTGTTTGCCTGTGAGGGTGGAACTCACACCCTGCAACCCCAGAGCAAGGAATGATCCAATTTTTGGTGTGTGAAGAACACAATAACTCAGTGAACCCCTGAAAATTTCTGTCAATACACAGATGAAAGGGCTGAAGAATTTGCTGATCCATGTTCATAGCAAATCATTCAAGCAGATATCAGATGCTCTTAAACCACTCTATAGCTGGTTAGCTCCTTAGCTTTAAGCTGAATTCACAGCCATCATACTCATTGTTCAACTTCTGCTGCTCATTGTAAGCTTAAACCACAAATCAAATGGACTTACATTGTTTGCAGCACCAAATTGCCAAACAAATTAGATGCCACAATGTGAGGTACTTGTATGATGCAAAGTAATAACTGTGATCGATGAGCCTTCTCCCAGCCAAGGCTGCAAGACCTTTCTTTGGCTGATTGCCTGCCCAGAGCTGCCTGGCATGTGCCTCACTCCTGCATGTTACACAGCAGGGTCCACATCCTGCTCAGCACAACAGCAAAACCCAGAGGAGCCCTGCTGAGTAGACTGGTTTTGTTATTGGCCACTGGGAAGGCAAAGATCTGCAGTCTCAAATGTGGTGGGAGAAACCCCCCAGCTGTCACACCATCAGCCATCCCTTGCTCTTCTAACACAGTCTTTAAACCTCAGGCTCTGAGCTGCCAAGACCTTTCTGTCCCCTCCTCAGCCAGGACCAATAGCCACTGGTCTGCTGGACACCACGTGGCACCGCAGGGACTCAGTGCCAAGAGGCCCCAAGAGCAATGCCTGCTGGGCTCATGCTGGGAGCACACTGCTGCTCTGGGTGCTGCTGGAGGGAGGTACCCTTGGCCCCAGGGAGGCAGGACTCAGGTGCACCCTGTGCTGACCACTACCCACTGGCAGGCTCTGGGTTCCTCCTGGGCAGCGTGCAGGGTGTTTCCATCGGCCTCCCCATGCCCTGCACAGGGAGTCCAGAGGTGAGCTCTGGGTTTGGGGTCCAAAAGAATGGGGGCTGCACTGCTACAGCCCTCCTGGGAATGTGCTTTGCAAGCACATTGCCTGGAGCTGTACAGAATGTCAGATCCATGCACCACCCGTATATAACCAAAATGCCAAGGACCAGGAGAAGAGCTTGTTTGGAACTGCCACAGTTTCAAGCAGCTCAAATAAAAGATGTTACATATTTCCTCTCCCTGAACTCTTTAAATTCTAAATTTTATCTTTTAGTTCAATGGAAAACAATACTTATCCTTTTTTTATATAGGGATGTTGTGATTTTTGGCTGTTAAGGCATCATTTGATCTTATATGGTGTTTGGTAGAAGCCACAACAATTTGCAATTCCTTTTTTATTATTAGGGACATACAGAATGTCTTTATATACTTCACTTTTCAGGGAAACCTAAGATATTATCTTTTAAATGCAATATGCCTTCATATTTATCACTATACTATCCTTATATCCATCAGCATCATGTACCTCCAGACCCTGGAAATCACCTCAAGTGCTCTATACATGAGCTGTATTTCAAGAATTTATGTATTGCCCCTGGAGGAATATGAGCTATAAAAGGTTTCTGGTGTTCTATGTTCAATGAAAACACCATGGATTTAGTCACAATGAGTTGCAGGTTTTGGTATATTGTTATTTTTCAAGTCTTTTTATCTTCTCATTACCACCAACCTGTATGACTCACACTACATGAGTCAAGGGGAGGTCACTTTTCCCAGCACTGATGTCCAGCAGGAGCTCATGGCTACAGATGTGAGTGCTATAAAGACATCATTTTTAATGGAGTTGTTAAGGTTTTTGACAACTATGTGTCAGGACATCCTGGGCTTCAGTGCTGAGGAGAAAACAGCCATCTACAAGCTGACAGGGGCTGTCATGCACTATGGGAACCTGAAGGTCAAGCAGAAACAATGACAAGACCAGGCAGAGCCTGATGGCACAGAAGATGCTTAGCAACTAACCTCTTGATACAGAAATCAGGTTTGTGAAACACTTTGTTTCAGAAAGGACAGAAGCCACCGTTTACTCGTGTGAAAACTGTATAATGTTTCTTTTAGCCTACATGAAACAGCAAACTTGATTCTCTGATATTCTGCCATGGCTGAATGGCCATTGGGAATGGTCATAAGCTGCGACAGGGGAGATTCAGATTAGATGACAGGAAATTTTTTTCCCTATGAGTGTTTTCAGGCACTGGAAGGTTGCCCAGGGAGGTGGTAGAGTCACCATCCCCAGAGGTGTTTTAGAGGTGTCTGGATCCCCCGCTGAAAGAAATGGTTTAGGGGTTCCAGCACTGACAGGTTAATGGTTGGACTTTATGGTCTTAGAGGTCTCCTCCACCCATGACGATTCTATGATTCTCAGAGTTTTGCAGCCAAAAATTTTGAACATTAAGGCATTTCTGAGATACACATCCCCCCAGTCAAATTCCAGTCCTTGTCCAATGACCAATTTTTCCTTTGTCTCTCTTGTCTTTCATGTGCTGACAAGGCTCCCTACCTGATGGGTCTGTACTCAGCAAATCAGCTTTGACCCTATGTTATCCTTGAGTCAAAGTTGGGAATTTAATTTGTGACCAAAGGTCAAACTATGGGGGAGATAATATACAGGAATAGTCAGTAAAATACTAGGAACACATGGTTAGAATTTCTCCTCAGAAAGCTAAAATTTCTTAATATTTCTCTGTGCAGTAACTTCTGTGCATTTTCCTTTTGGTCTGGGTGCACTCTTGGCAAAGTCTGTGTTTGGGAAGATGTTCCTGTGGATGGTTGTTCACATCAACCAACAGCTGGATACCAAGCAGCCCAGGCAGTACTTCATTGGTGTGCTGGACATTGCTGGCTTCGAGATCTTTGATGTAAGGAACAAAGTTTTCACAACAGCTTCATGGAAGAAACAATGGTTGCTAACAAAATTCTTTCATGAAGAGCCAATTGTGCCTGACTAATCTAGTGGTCAGTCTCACCTTTGTGCAAGGCAAGATCATAGAGAAGATCCTCCTGGAAAACATGCTGTGGTGCATTGGTTAGATGAGTTGTGGTGAACAGCTCTATGTCCAGGTGGACACTAGAAATGAGTGATGTTCCTCAGGGTTCTGTATTGAGACCAGGATTATATCACACCTTTACCAGGGACAGGGACAGTGGAATAGAGTGCACCATTAGCAAGTTTGCTAATGACACCAAGCCACGTGTTGCAGTCAACACACTGGAGAGAAAGTAGATTCTGTTTGGATATGAGACATGGCCAGTGAGACATGGAAACAGACTGGCCCCAGAATATGGCAATGCCCCATAACTAAAAGTGTGCAAGCTCAGGGTGTGTGGGGCTTTGAGCAACCTTATGTAATCAAAGCTAGCTCTGCCCACAGCAGTGGTGTTGCACCAGATGATTCTAAGGTCCCTTCCAACCCAAACCATTCTGTGTTTCTGTCCTCTGTCTGTTCTGTATGTCCATGAGAGTCAGAGATTGCTCAGAGAGTCAGGAGTTCTGACGTGCCCTTGCACTCACCATTTTACATAGATTGTTTCTGGGCTCCTCCTGGATGGGGCAAAGAGTGTTTCCATCAGCCTCTCCCTGCCCTGTGCAGGGAGCCCAGGGGTGAGCTCTGGTTTTGAACTTAAAAACCTGCAAGCTCATCCTTGGAACAATCTCTTCATGCCCAGATCAGTGCTCGCTGCTGGATATCTCCTCGGGTCACAGGCATCATTTTTCTGGCCTTGCCTCTGTGCTCTTCCCTGAGCTTTACCCACTGAGCCCCTTTAATAATCAAAATGCCAGTGACCAGGAGAAGAGCATGATTAGAACTGACACCATTTAAAGCAGCTCAAGTGACAGTGCAAGATACTTGTGATGGGATGGAAGTGCTGGACTGAGGATGTATCAGAGTTGCACCACAGTCATGCAATAAAAATCTTCTTGGAGTCCAGGAGGAAATCACTGGAAATGTAGCAATATAATCTATTGGTCCTACATCCAAGTTCTCTAAGTGCCTTGACTAATTGAGATTCTGTCCTTAAGTCTCTAGACATATTATTTATAGTCAATACATTCACATCATTGGTAAGATACAAAACATTTCTAAATATATCTTGTCAAATCAAATGAAAATTATGCACTTAGCTAAGTTTGCCAGACAATACTTTGCCAAAGAATGTTTGCCATAAAATGTTTTGACCGAAAAAAGAGGAAGAATCCAGAGCATCTGCCAACCAGACTCTATAAAAGTGTCTTTGCAGTGCTCTCCCCTGTCTCCTAGGAAGGTTTCACGGTAAGTGCACTGGGTCTGGTGATTTGTTGAAATGAGGCATCCCCTGTTATTGCATATTAGGCAATAGATTCTGACCATGATTTCCAGAGAAGTTTTCCACTTGCTTTCAGGTAATTGTATATTTTTATCTATACCTTTATAATTAAATTTTACATTGGAATAACGAGGCTCCTTTAAGATAGTGCCTATTCTCAAATGCAACACTACAAGCCGTAAAGCAAAGTACAATCTGTACAGTGTCACAAGACACAGCCAGCAGAAATTTCTGAAAGGTTATTGATATCATTCAAGGATGAAAACATTGTTTTTCTCTTCTGTGGGACGAGGAAGGTTAGTTTTGCTAGTTTTAGCAATTTTAGTATGGGTGAAATTTTACAGCATTGGAAAAGGTCTCCTTGCAATTAAAGCACATTAATCAGCTATTGATGCTATGTTTCTTTTCTCCCACAGTGTTCTCTGCTGACGAGCCCCTCCAGAAGGTGCAGCCATGTCGACAGACGCCGAAGCGGCCATCTTTGGGGAGGCTGCCCCTTACCTCCGAAAATCGGAAAAGGAGAGAATTGAGGCCCAGAACAAACCTTTTGATGCCAAGTCATCTGTCTTCGTGGTACATCCCAAAGAATCCTTTGTGAAAGGGAAAATTGAGAGTAAGGATGCAGGGAAGGTCACTGTCAAGACTGAAGGGGGAGAGGTGAGTAAATGCAAGACTTACAAACAAAATTTCATGCCCATTCTGGCCCTTAGCTGACGTGCATATACTTTCCTTTCCTCTTACAGACCATGACCGTGAAGGAAGATCAAATCTACTCCATGAACCCTCCCAAGTACGACAAGATCGAGGACATGGCCATGATGACCCACCTCCACGAACCCGCTGTGCTGTACAACCTCAAAGAGCGTTACGCAGCCTGGATGATCTACGTGAGTGCCAGCAGCAGCTTCCCTTGGGCAGCTGCAGGAACTGCTCTGCCAGGCTCAGGGCAAGCCAACGTGCTGTCTCCCTTCCCCACAGACCTACTCGGGTCTCTTCTGCGTCACTGTCAACCCCGAAGAGGGGCTGCCGGTGTACAACCCCGAGGTGGTGTTGGCCTACCGAGGCAAGAAGCGCCAGGAGGCTCCTCCACACATCTTCTCCATCTCTGACAATGCCTATCAGTTCATGCTGACTGGTGAGTTGCTTGGTTTTCTTTAATGTTGCTTGGCTATGGACACTTGCAGAGGCTAAAAAAAAAAGTCCTTTCACTGCAAAATAATTCAGTTTAATGGTGCTGTGAGGGTGGAAATCCCCTCATCGATGGAAATGATGAATTCTTTCCCTTGATTGAGGAGGATTGGGTTAGAGACTATTCAGTCAAACCTGACATCCACAAGTCAATGATTGAGGAGGATTGGGTTAGAGACTATTTAGTCAAACCTGACATCCACAAGTCCATAGGCCCTGATGGGACGAATCTGTGAGTGCTAAGAGAACTGGTGAACATCTTTGCTTGGCCCCTCTCGTTCGTCTTTGAGTGGTCAGGAGAGGTGAATGAGGAATGAAAGAAAGAAAATGTTGTAATGGTTTTCACAAAGTGCAAGAAGAAGGACCCAAGGAACTACACACCTGTCATCCTCACCTTAATCCCTGGAAAGGTGTTGGAAGAGCTCATCCTGGAGTCCATCTCTAAGCATGCTGAATACAAGAAGATGATCAGTAGTCAGCATGGATTAACCAAACAGAAATCATGCTTAACTGACCTGATTCCCTACTACAATGGGACATTAAAACTGACTGGATTACCTTCTACAATGGGACAACTACCTGGAGAGATGAGGAGAGAGCAGTGGATGTTGTCTACCTGGACTTCAGCAAGGTTTTTGACACTCTCTCCCATGATATCTTCATAGGCAAGCTCAGGAAGTGTGGGCAGGACAAGTGGATGGTGAGGTGCATTGAGTTCTGTCTGAATGGCTGGTCTCAGAGGGTTTTGGTCATGGCTCAGAGTCTAGTTGGAAGTCTGTCACTAGTGGTATCCCCCAAAGGTCAATACTGGACCCAGTATTGTTTAACTCGTTCATCAACCACTTGGCTGAATGGGTCGATGCCTTCTCAGCAAACTCACTGAGAACACAAAGCTGGGAGGAATGGCCAATAGCCCAGAGGGCTGTGCAGCCCTGCAGAAGAGCCTCGACATGTTATATAGATGGACAAAGAGGACCTGTCTGAAATTCAACACAGGAGAGTGCAGGTCCTGCACCAGGTTTATGAAAGGATTTAGCTGCCTACTGCTAGCACATCTACCGAAAGTCACAGGAATATTTTCATCAAGGGTATTCATGACACACATTAATAATCTGCTTTTTCCACAGATCGGGAGAACCAGTCCATCCTGATCACGTACGTACAGCCCTGCTCGGGTCCCTGTGGGGCTGCCCAGTGCCAGGGATCCTCCTGCCTCACCACACACTCTCTGCCTCTCTCTGCTTTGACAGTGGAGAATCCGGTGCCGGGAAGACTGTGAACACCAAACGTGTCATCCAGTACTTTGCAACAATTGCAGCCAGTGGGGACAAGAAGAAGGAGCAGCAGCCAACAGGCAAGATACAGGTGAGCCAGGAAGAACAGAGTCAACACTTGGCATGTCATTGTCCTGTCAGCTAAAAAGTCACTGAATAATTCTTGCCCTGCAGGGAACGCTTGAGGATCAAATCATCAGCGCCAACCCACTGCTGGAGGCCTTTGGGAATGCCAAGACTGTGAGGAATGACAACTCCTCACGCTTTGTAAGTTGTTGCTTTGGACAAAATCTCTCCCTCTCATTACAAGACAAGTGATGCCCGAGTAGTTCTCCATGTAAAGGAGGCATCAAAGCAACCCACCCAGGCTGAAATGATGCTGCTTCTCCTTAACAGGGCAAATT